TGGCGTTCTTGTTGTCATTCCCTAACAAGGCAGAATGTTTGAAAAAAGGTATGCATGAACACTTAGATTGTGTGCTCTGTGTGTTGAACATAGAGGTTCTTTTTCTTTGCCTCCCTCGAAGTAGGCCCAATCCCTCTTCATCTTGTTCTTTATCACTTGATTTATGTACATTGTGAGCTTGGCAGCGATCAGTGAATTTCGCTTCACTGTATCTCGCTGTACGATGATGATGATGATGATGATGACAGCTGCCTCTGTGGGAGGTTCACATGACACTACCCACGGAGCCTCAGCTACAACAAATGATAAAGTCCGGTCAGCATTAGGCCAGCTGAAATTTTCGTTAAAATATTCCACCCACCGGTCAAGCCGTTGTTCCGTATTGTGAATAGCTCAACCTTTTTGGTCGCAGATTGTTTCACCAACTGGTTTGCCGACTTCCTATGTTGCGTATCATTTTTGACTTTTCGGTGATGCAGCGGCTACCTTTATTTCACTAGCTATTGTCGCCCATCTGCTCCTCTCCGCATTCATTTGCTGGAATGACCTCTCCACGAGGAGGATGACTGAAGAAAAAGTTAGTTGGCGCCTAATCGGTTGCCTTTGTAGAACGGAGTGTTGTGGGGTTTTCTTCTGTTGTTTTCAGTTTCAGTTTTTACAACCATTAACCATGCATTTTCGTGTGCCGGTTTTGGTTGCTGTCTTTTGGCTGTCTATTTGGATGAACAATGAAAGAAAGACAGGAAGGTTGAAAGTGGAGTCGAACAGAAAATGGAGAATTTCAGTGGACTAAGGTTGCAAATAAATTGAGATGCACAAACGGCACTGTTTACAACACTCAGAGATATAACTCACTGTCTCCAATCACCGGTTACGATCATCCCGAGGTCCCTATTCAGGGAGCCTAACGCGACCTACATGACCGAGTTTCTCGGTCAGGGTTTTCATACGGCCGGGCGAGGTATTATTTTGACCACCCACGGCTTAGGTAAAGTGTGCGGTGAGACTTGAACATTATTGCAAAGCAAACATCGCCCTTGCAGAAACTTGTGCCATTATTAAACACGTGTACTTGTGCTTGTTTGAAAAAAGTGAAAGTCATCGCAAATTACTTACCGAGGAGGGATCCCGATAGATGGTAGACTGATTTAACNTTTAACGATGAATCAAACGACGGAAACGGTACAACATCAAAGAACAGTCGATCAATCACGTTAGTCTTCTTTATGTTTACTCTGCACTGAGGACAAGTTAGAGATGATTTGAACCAGGTTTCGACACATCTTTTGTGAAACACATGTCCACATGGCAGGGCTGCCATAGAAGAGTCGGACATAGGAGTGAAGAGCTCTTGGCAAACCGGGCACTGAGCAAGAATCATGCTTGTGAAAGTCTGAACTTGTATCCAGAAGGAAGTGGTCACCGTGGTTCATGCAATGTTCTCATTGGGCACAATCGCAGGGATGAACGAAACTCAAAGGCCGCTGACTGAAAATAAAGTGAAATACCGAGTCGTATTACCAAACGTCAGGATAACAGAAGTACAAGCATTCAACAATCCTGAAGATGGTGAAAACTTCCCCCAGAAATGACCTTGAATTTCTCGACAGTCTGAATTGACAGAAACAATTTCACCTAGAGAACAGACTGTGTTAAATACCAACAGACGCGTTCTTTGATTACGAATAGAATAGTACCTGTGTTCCAAATCTTTAAGTAGTTATTCACACTTTATAGAGGTGAACTGACACAATACTTCAAAAACAGTCATCTCCAGACAAAAACACACCGCAAAAAGCACCCAATTCCGGGTCATTTATCAAGAGTTCCAGTCTCATGCAGGCTAAACGCCATATGCCCTAGTTCAACTAATGACCGTTTCGGTAAACATCACAAAGCAAGAGACCCTGTCCGGTGACAAGCGTAAAGCGTGACCTAGTCAGCGTAATCCATAGATGCAAATCAATTGTGTTACTGTAGCATCAGCGTACGGCGAGATCCACTGAAGCGAACTTCGCTGCTCACTGCGAATCATCATCGTCATCATTTTGTACTACACATTTAAGTGTTCTGAGCAGCAGACGGGGAAATTCCCGTAATCACGAGGACATTCTGTTCAGTGATGGAAACCGGTAATCCGAACCCCGGGACTCGGAGCGGCGAACCACAGAAGGCCCCGCTGGGTTAGGTGATAAACATTATCATCGTATAGCGAGATACAGAGAGGCGAACTTAGATGATCGATGTGCACAAAGTAAGTGACCTAACTGGAGGGAGGCAAAGAAATTGAACCACTATGGTCAATCCAATTGCGCACATATACCCTTCCAAGCATTCCAAATTGATAAGAAATAACAACAGGAACGCCACTGCCGTCGGTTAGTTGCCATATTTTTCAGTATTTCAAACCAACCAGTTAGTCTTTCGGACCCCAACCCGGAATATCAGTTTTTTCAGTTTGAACAACCATTAACCATGCACTTTCGTGCGCCGGTTTTGGTTGCTGTCTTTTGGCTGCCCATTGGGATGAAGAATACGACAAGAAAGGAAAGTTGAAAGTGGATTCGAAAAGAAAATGGAGAAGTTCAGTGGACTAA